GTCCTTTGCTCTCGGAAATCAATAAAAACATTCAAAAATAATAAAAACTAAAAACACTTCATAATTCCAGTGTGAGGCTAACACTGAGCCCCGCTGATTAGGAAAAGAAAGGAAAACAAGAATGCACCATATTTGGAATCAAAATCTCCTTTTATTTATTTTTAAAGAAAACCCAAAGAGGTGGCGACTCCGAGTACTCGTCGCAGCTGGGGAGTTCGAGCACCATGAGCTCCCAGTTAGACTTCGATTTGGAACTGGTCAGCTCTGAGGAACAAGTGCTCAGAGCCCTTGGAAGTCAGCCCTCGGGCGAGCTTGGGGACAAAACCGACCAGATGCCCCCATATGAACTGGATCAAGAAAGGGGAGTCTCAGGACCAGAAAAGGGTGAAAGGAGACCCAAAAAAAGAGTATCCTACTTCACCGAGGAAAAAGCGAAAGAATTCCAGTCCAGAGTGAGCGCCCTGAAGGGCTCACTGGTGTCCGCCACCTATGAGAACATTTTGTTTCAAAAGGACGTCAGTGCCAGCGTGTACCCCTTGGTAAGTGTGACATGCTTTGCGAGAATTGTGAAGGGGGGGGATCTTATGCAGGTGGAAAACACAAACACCACCAGAAAGATCCTTTTTATTTAAAAAAATATATTTTTTTATTGATTTCAGAGAGAGGAAGGGAGAAGGAGAGAGAGAGAAACATCAATGATGAGAGAGAGCCGTTGACCGGCTGCCTCCTGCACGCCCCCTGCTGGGGATCGAGCCCGCAACCCGGGCATGTGCCCCGATCAGAATCGAACCTCGAGTTCTTGGATCCTAGGTCAGTGCCCAACCGCTGAGCCACACCGGCCAGGCTGGAGGACTTTCTTAAAGTGATCTCTCCTGTTGGGCTGATGCTGTGAAACCCTCCTCCAGGGACGCCCGCCGGGAGCGCCCGGGGTCCCAGCGCTGGGCCGGCACATCGGTGTCCTGCTGGTCTCCCCTTTGCCTTCCAGACCATGACTTGGAAGTACGGGTGGAACAGCTCCCTCCCGGTTTTCTACATCCAAGACAAGAAGCAGAGGGTCCTCCTGTACGCCAGCGCCCACACGGCCGTCATCTACAGCGTCCTCAGGAACGACCAGCGTCACCTCCAGGTAGGCCGCTTGGTCTGGTGGTGAGGCCCAGAGGTCGTCTCTGGCTTGAACACAGCATTTTGGTTCCTTTTTAAACAATATGTTTGTATTGATTTCAGAGAGAGGAAGGGAGAGGGAGAGGGAGGGCTTCGGTTCTCAGGCCTGTGTGTGAGGCCCCGAAGGGAGGCCAGCGTGCAGAGTAAGCGAGGGGAGACGAGGAGGGGGCACCCGGGCTGCTTCCAGCAGGGAGCGCTACCTCTTGACTGTGTTTCTAGAAGCTTCCTCCATTATGTGGGGAAAGGATCAGAGTGAAAGCAGAGAGACCAGTGAGGAGGCTTTCGCTCCAGAGCTGCTCAGAGACCGGGTTGCCCCTGTTTTAGGGAGATGCGGCCAGCAGGGAGGCCCACGGGGGCTGGGGCTGGGGAGTCCTGTGCACCCAGTTTGCCAGCTCAGTTACCAAGCAGGGCACACTCCTGCATTGCACGCCCAGTAGGGGTCGTGCAGGAGGCAGCCAGTTGATGTTCCTCTCTCGTCATTGATGTTTCTCTCTCCCTCTCCCTTGATCTCTCTCTCTCTAAAATCAATAAGAGCTTTTTTGAAAGTTTGAAAACCACTGGCTATGGACAAATACATGGGAAAGCCTATGGGAGCAGAATTTCTAGCCAGACGAGCCTGGAAAGGGACTCTGTTCCCTCTGTGGGGCCCCAGCCTTTCCTGCCGATACCAAGTCTGGGCCGCATCCTTGACATTTCAGAGCCTTTTCTCTGTCTCCGTAGGGCCACCCCAACGTGATCTCCTGCCTCTGTGTCAGCGAGGACAGGCGGTGGATCGCCACGGCTGACAAAGGGCCCAACTGCCTGATAATTATATGGGACTCCTTCACGGGGTAGGTTTGGCACAGGTGGTCTAACTTTTTAAAAAATATATATGTTTTTATTGATTTCAGAGAGAGGAAGGGAGAGGGAAAGAGAGAGATAGAAACATTAATGATGAGAGAGTCACTGATCAGCTGCCTCCTGCAGGCCCCCCACTGGGGATCGAGCCCGCAACCCAGGCATGTGCCCTGACCAGGAATCGAATTGGTGATCTCCTGGATCCTAGGTCGATGCTCAACCGCTGAGCCACACCGGCCAGGTGGTCTAGTTTTTCATTATGTGGTTACGTCATAACATTTTTTTTAACAATTCCCATATCTATGGAGATTTGTGTTGTTTCCAGGCTTTTGCTGTGAAGGCCAAGTCACAAGGAGCAGGAATGACATCGCTCTCTGTACTTTCGCTATTTTTCCTCTAGGAGCAGCTGCAGAGGTGGGATTGTAGGGGCTCAGAGTATGTGCATTTAACGTGTAGAGAGAGAACAGCTAGACTGCTGTCCGGGGAGCCCATGCTTGCTGACGTCCCTGCTTACTCAGGAGAGCACCTGTCCCCCGAGAGCCAGGGCGCTGTCCCAGGCATCATTCATCACATGTGCATCTTTCACGCCTGGCACAGAACTGGCACTCAGTAATGAAGGACAGGCCAGAGCTCACGAAGAGAGCAAGTAGCACTTTCACAGGCCACCCTATTTAGTTTATTTCAGTTATTGGGGTAAAATTCACGTAACATAAAACTAAACATTTAAAAATGAACAGGTCAGCAGCTTTGAGCACATTCACAAGGTTGTGCAACCACCACCTCTGTCAGGTTCCGAAACATTCTCATCCACCCAAAACCCCCTGCCCATCAAACAGTCACTCCCACCCCCCACCCCCAAGCCCCTGGAAAACAGCAGTCTGCTTTCTGACGGCCTGTTCTGGGTGTTTGATGTCAATGGAATCATACACTGGTTTCTTTCACTCAGCATTGTGTTCTCAAGGTTCATCCACATCGTAGCAGGTGTCGGTGCTTCATTCCTTTTCATGGCTGAGTAGTATTCCACCGTATGGACATACCACATTTATTTATCCACAGTTGTTATGCTTTTGAAGTGGGTCCCTCTGGGAACCCAGGCAGGCCCAGCAAATGCTTGCCCCCCGTCCTGTCTTGCAGGATTCCCGTGCACACAATATTCGACAGCTGCCCGGAAGGTAACGGCATCAGGGCCATAGCCATCACCCGCGATGCCAAGTACTTGGCAACCATCTCAGATGCTGAAATCCAGGTACAGGGACCTTCGGGGTGGCCTCAGTGGGCGGGCTGGCCAACCCATCCAGAGTGTCCCCAGCAGTAGCTCTGCTCAGGCCACGTGGCCTCTGTGATGCTCTCCGGGTGACCAGACTCCACGGTGCTTTGTCAGGGGCTCCGTGCTCGCAGCTTAGCTCCAGGTGATGCATTTAGTTAACAAGTTGCAGGGTTACCCCCCGTGGTGTGGTGGCTCCAGCGGCTCTCCCGCCTGCTCTCACTTGCAGAAGGTTTGCATCTGGAGGTGGACTTTGGCCGCAGAAACACCGGCGTGCACCCTGGACCTCCCCAAAGAGTACGGCTTCCAGGTGAGTTCAGTCCCAGCCTGTAGGGTTGACCTAAACATCTCCCCGGGGATGGCTCACTGTCTGTTGTGTTACTGTCTAGTTTCTGCATTTCACGTTTCCCTCACTTCTATAGTATCTGCGGGGTTGATTTTGGGGAAGGGAGCCAGGCACCCCTGCAATTCACCGCCTTGGCAGGACGATATTTTGCAATCATTCCAAGCTCCCAGTGGCCCCGTCAGATTCAGAAATGTGTACGCAGCGGTCGTTCCCCTGAAGGACACAGAGAACTGGTGACTGCTGGTTTACTTTTACTAGATGATGAACTATAACAAATGAGACTAAATAAGAAAGGGAATACATTGAGCCCGTTAATCTTAACACTCAGTATTTAAATCATAGTCCTATTGCTTATAAAATGCCACGTCTTTTCTGTTTTATGTTCCTAGACAGTTATTTATTTTCATAAAAATGTCACTTAATTTTAGTGTTTCACTGAACCAGAAAAAAAAACAACAGGAAATTTATTGTAATGGAATACATCTCTCCATGTTTTATATTTCAGAACTACCTTATTTTTAATCCAACAAATAATAAAGAATTGGTGAGCAATAGTAAAACACAGATAATATATTATTTGTGGGTAAGTACAAATATTTCAATTTGTTTTAAATGTAGTTAGTTCTTCTTTTGGAAACCAGGTCTTTTTTTTTTTTAAGTAATGGTTTTTTTCTGTACTTACCAGAATGAAGAGAGAGATATACTTACTCACAGCGCCCCATTCTTAACAGAAAAAGTGAGTATGCCTGTTGCTTTTTTATACATCTGATTTTGTGGCAAATAAACACGCACGTGTAAGCTCAGTCATTTTCAGCTACTTTTCATTTTTATTTATTTAAAAAATATATGTTTTTATTGATTTGAAAGAGGGGGAGAGAGGGAGGGAGAGGTAGAAACATCAATGATGAGAGTCATTGATCGGCTGCCTCCTGCACGCCCCCCACTGGGGATCGAGGAGCCTGCAGCCCGGGCCTGTGCCCTGACCGGGAATCGAACCCTGACCTCCTGGTTCATAGGTGGATGCTCAACCGCTGAGCCACGCCGGCCGGCTAGTGCCCTGTTTTACGTAGTACAGGCTTAACAAGGAATCTGAGGGGCGCATCTATGCACAGTACTTAATTTTCACTGATGAGAAAATAATTTATGATCACAAGGAGACGGGGAGAATTACTTTACGGTATCTTACAGCTCGGGGGCGCTTTTGCAAATGGAAGGCGTAAGTTTCTTTATCAGCCTCTGAAACCTCAGTGAGAGAAGCGGGACAGGTAGGAGCAGAGATCGACCGCTCTGTCATTTGCTTGAAGCAAACAGTTTAATGGGCAGAGTACACAACCCTTCGCTTGATCTCAGCAAGTGAGGTTCAGAGCTGCCTGGACCAGAGTAATGCACACGGGGGAGCTTTTTTTTTCTTTTAGCGATTGCTTTGTGTGTGTTTTCGTAACTTTCTGATCTTGTTTTTTACTATGTTTCAGTGTAATATTATAAAAGGCTGTGTGTTGATAAATGTTTTGTCGTAGATGTTATATTTTATATTTACATTACCAACTGTAACTCAAAACCTGCCTTATGAAATGCAGACATTCAACAAGCTGGTGGGAAAGTTCAGCCAGTCCGTCTTCCACCTGAATTTAACACAAATGCTCTCGGCCACCACGGAAGGGAAGCTGGTTGTCTGGGATGTGTGCCGCCCGCCGGCCGCGGCCTCCGCTTCTCCGGCCCTGCCCTTTATCAGACCTTGTAAACTGGTCCATTTGCAGAAAGAGGGCATCACCGTGCTTACTACAGTTGACAGGTAATCAACGTAACTAAAAGGTAGCTATAGGTGACTGTAAAAGTGTTTTATTTCTTTTAAAAGACCATCAAAAAGTAAAATTTTTAAAAATTTTACTTTTTAATTTTTAGAGAGGAAGGGAGGGAAAGAGAGAGAGAAACACTGATTTCGTGCAGGAGGCAGCCGATCCGTAGACTCTCTCATCACTGATGTTTCTACCTCTCTCTCCCCCTCTCCCTTCCTCTCTCTGAAATCAATAAAGATATATTAAAAAAAAAACACAACAGACCAGGACAGGGAGCCCTTGAAGGGAAACACTTGTCTCTGAGTACATTTGGCCCATTTTGCCATTTCTGTCCAGCAGAGGGCAGGGAAAGACATTTTAGCCGATGACTGAGCCCACCTGCCTTGCTTATTAATCAGAAACCTCATTTAATCACTTTGTGTGCATAAGAGGAAACTCACCCCCACTGCTTCACCCTGTGATTAGAATTATGTCAGAGGCTTAAAAAAAGCACGCCCCTTTGGGACGGACTGGAGATAAAAGCCGGTTTGTCCCGCCTCTCCGCCTTTGGCTGTGGTGAGGGACAGGGCTTTACCGTGGCTCTAACAGCAGGGCCTTCTTATAAAGTGGCTCATGTCCCGCTGGCAGCTCGTGTGACTTTGGAGGCCTGGTAGACAGACTCTGTTGTCATCAGCAGCCTTATGGTGGAGAAAGTAAGTCACGGGGGCTGATCTTCGGGGGCAGGGAATCACGGAGCAGAGAGCAGGGGCTTTGTGTTGGACACGCCTGGGTCCCCGCATAGTCTCGCCCTGTGACCCTGATAGGGTTGCCAGGCGTGAGTATGTCCCATGCAATACTGGGGACGTATTGAACACTATAAGATTACCCGTTGTTTATCTGAAACTCAAATTGAACTGGGCATCCTGCATTTTTATTTGCTAAATCTGGCAACCTCAGGCCTTGAGCAAATTTCTTAACTTCTCTGAGCCTTAGTTCCCTAGATGTAAAGGGAGTAAGAGTAAAATCAGCACAGGGCAGAGTATTAAGTGAAGTTTTTACAACACGTGGAACCCAGAGCCTGACATATAGTTAAGTGTTCAATCGATGGTGCTTAGGCCCTGGCCGGGTAGCTCAGTTGTCTAGAGCGTCACCCCCCTATGCCAAGGTCATGGGTTCCATCTCTGGTCAGGGCACATACAAGAATCACCCAATTGCCCTGGCTGGTGTGGCTCAGTGGTTAGAGCGCTGGCCTGCGGACTGAAGGGTCCCGGACTTGTTTCCGGCCAAGGGCAGGTACCTCGGTTGCAGGCTCCATCCCCAGCCCTGGATCCCCGGCCCTGGTTGGGGTAGGCGCGGGAGGCAGCCGAGCGATGGGTCTCTCTCACATCAGTGTTTCTCTCTCTCTCCCTCCCACTCTCTCTGAAAAGCAATGGAAAAAATATACCCTCAGGTGAGGGTTTAAAAAAAAAAAGTGTCAACCAATGGATACATAAATAAGTGGAATAACACGTCAGTGTTTCTCTCTCTCGCCTCTCTTTCTCTCTAAAGTCAATTAAATTTTTTAGTTTAAAAAAATGTTTAAAAAAATATGTGGCACTTATTACTGTTACTTAACGCACAGACGTTATTCTGCATCCCAGCTATATTGTCACAGGTGACATCAAGGGCAACATTAAGTTCTACGATCACACCCTGTCTATCGTTAACTGGTTCAGCCACTTCAAACTGAGCTCCATAAGAACGCTGTCTTTCTCCAAGACCCCGGCCTCCGCCCCCACCGAAAAGTCAAACTACCCTTCGGACTGCACTCTGAAAGGTGACCTTTTTATCGTAAGGTGAGTTGTTAATGAATCTAGTCGTTTGAGTGGGTCAGACGTGATCAATGTGTTTCTTTTATACATTTTTAAAATATATCTTTATTGATCTCAGAGAGAGGAAGGGAGAGGGGGAGAGAGAGAAACATCAATGATGAGAGTCATTGATCGGCTGCCTCCGGCACGCCCCCTGCTGGGGATCGAGCCCACAGCCCGGGCATGTGCCCTGACCGGGAATCGAACCCTGACTCCGGGCTCATGGGTGGACGCTCAACCACTGAGCCACACTGGCCGGGCCATGAACCATTAATTTCATCTGAAGAATCTTCAGTGGCTGGGAGCTGGATGGGGCTTATTCCCGAGCTCTAAGCCCTGCTCTGTCTGGAGCCCGTCGCCTGTGGGCCACTCTGTAGTCCCAGCGGCGCCGCTAACGGGGTCTGATAATTAACAGCCGTAACATTTCGAGGCGGAATGACCCGCGCGTCCGCTCGATGGCCCTCCGGCATCTACAGGCGGCTCCGTATTTGCATACGCAAATGAATATTTGCATGTGCAGATTAGCTAATTGCACAACCGACCGTCCATCTGCGTGCTTAACGGCTGCATTTACAGGGAGAAACTCGGGCTTTTCCACTTGCAAATGGAGGCTGCTGGGTGTGCGCAGTATATTTTTGGAGGCGCTGGGTTAATAATGTCACTAAATTACAGACGACAGAGGCGTTCCCGGCGCAATTAGAAGCAGCGTGGCTGGCGCGCTCCCCGCCGGCGCTGACGCCGGCTGGTCTCTCCTTGGCAAACAGGAATTTTATCATCGGAACGTCCGATGCCGTCGTGTACCACCTGAAGGCGGACGAGACCAAGCTCGAGAAGCTGCTCATAGAGCCCAGGGAGGCCATCTGCGCCATCGCCTGCCACCCCTACCAGCCCTTCATCGCCATCGGGAGCGTCTGTGGGATGATCAAAGTGTGGGATTATGAAAAGAAGGAATACCTTTTCAGCAGGGTCTTCGAGAAGGGGCTCGGCATCCAGAGCCTGACCTACAACCCCGAAGGTATTTTCACTGCACCTGCCTGTCTCAGGTCCCGAAATCGAAACAGACCCAAATGGGCCTCGCCTTGGCTGTCACAGCTCCGGGGAGTTCACCACGGCCCCACGGCCCCCCTCTGCCCACCTGACAGGCCCGATGAGACCCCGTCTCTCCCTCTGGACCCTGCGGCCCGCTGTGCTTAGGAGCCTCTGAGCTCTCATCCCGGGGAGTCCTGCTTTTCAGGCTTTTTTCCCTCCTTCTAGGGACCTTGTCTGTCACCTTCATTGCTGCCTCCTCGGCACCTAGAACAATGCCTGGCACAGATCCAGTGTTTGGTTTTTTGTGTGTGTTTTTTTTAATGTCTTTATTGATTTCAGAGAGAGGGAGAGGGAAAGAGAGAGAGAGAAACATCCATGATGAGAGTCATTGACCGGCTGCCTCCTGCACGCCCCCGACTGGGGATCGAGCCCGCAACCTGGGCATGTGCCCTGACCGGGAATCGAACCCTGATCGCCTGGATCCTAGGTCAATGCTGAGCCGCTGAGCCACGCCCAGGCGGGCGAGTCTGTGTTTCTTAAATGAATGAAGCCCTTTTCAGATCATTGTTCTCCGGCTTGTGGTTTCAGGGGCCCTTCTTGGAGCCGGCTTCACAGAGGGGACTGTTCACATTCTTGATGCGATGTCCTTAGAAAACGGAATCCCGGAGCCTTTCAAATATTCCAGGACCAGCGTGACTCACATAAGCTTCTCCCACGACTCCATGTACATGGCAACCGCTGTGAGTGTTTTCACTGAGAACCGGCCTGTGGTTTTACCAACCTTATTTGAAACGCAGAGAGGCCCTGGCCCGGCAGCTCCGTGGATTAGAGCCCCGTCGCCACGCGCCAAGCTTGCACGTCCGATCTCCAGTCAGGGCACACGCAAGGATATTTTTTCCATTGATTTTTAGAGAGAGAGGAAGGGAGAGAGGGAGGAGGGGAGATAAGAGAGAGAGAGACATCGGTATGGGAGAGATACATGGATTGATTGCCTCCCAAATGCACCCCGAATCTAACCTGCCACCCAGGTACGTGCCCTTGACCAGGAATCGAATCCGTGACCCTTTGGTGTGCGGGCCGACGCTCTAACCACTGAGCACACCAGCCAGAGCAATATGATGATTTAAAAAAAAAAAATGTCTTTATTGAATTTAGAGAGAGGAAGGGAGACAGAGAGAGAGAGAGAGAAACATCAATGATGAGAGAGCCATTGATTAGCCGCCTTTACACTCCCACTGGGGATCGAGCCCGAAACCTGGGCCTGTGCCCTGTACCCCAATCTCCTGGATCATAGACCGATGCTCAACTGCTGAGCCATGCCGGCCGGGCAAAATATGATGGTTTTTAAGTTGCAAAATGTAAAAAGGAATAACTTCTGTACTTTTGCTGATATGCAGGATGCAAATTTCACTGTGGCCGTTTTCATGGTCAAGGTCAGAAACGGGCAAAGGGTCTGGGAGTACTTGGCAAGACTTCGTTCTCATCGCAAAAGCATCCGGAGTCTCCTGTTCGGGGTTCATCTGGACAGCAACGAGCCCAGACTGCTGAGCCTCGGGCGAGACAGGCTCTTGGTGAGCTGCTTAGCTTTTGCTCACCTGCCACCAGGACGTGTCATTCTTGTTACACCCCCGGTGTCCCCCACAGTGTGTGTGTCTGTTGGAGAAAATGGGTGCCCTGCAAAGTAGCATAAACCTCTCCAGGCCGGCGCTTGGTCGTCACTGGGCTCTGACACTGCGCTGGCCTCGTGTTCTGAGTGAGGAGGCTTCTGGGAGGCGGCAGGTTGGGTGGCAGGGAGGTGGTGCTCCCCACAGCATGGCAGCTCAGCCCCCTCGCCTCTCCGTGGAATTTGGAAACCAACACTTGCTGACGCTTTCTTTGCATCCAGGGGGTGGGGACAGGCTCTTACCTAAATGTGACGACTAACAGAGGATGTGAGATAAGAGGGAACGGTAGGGACATGGCCAGTGTGATGTTGCGGGATCAAGTAGAAAGGATTAAGAATCAGTCTGTGTATCTGTTCACCCATCTTAACTTCCTTACTTACCTCCAAATCCCTCCATCCACCCACTCACCCACCCACCCATCCACCCATCCCTCCCTCCATCCCTCCCTC